CAGCTCTCCCCAAGTACTAAGTACAGGCTTTAAAGATGTCCAGTGCCGTCAGTACACAGTTTTGTTGCTGCAGTGAAAGATTTATGGTAGCAGGGAACTCAAAAGAACAACAAAATTCATCACGTAACATCAGAGGCACATCACGTAAGCCACGCTCCTCAGCTGACTCACGAAGTGATATTAACTCCAAAAAAAAAAAAAAAAAAAAAAAAAAAAAAAAATTAAAAAAATTTTTAAAAAAAAAAAAGAAAAAAGAAAAAAGAATAAAGAGAATTTAAAAAAAAAAAAAGACATTAAAATGGAGGAAAGGAAAAGAAATAAGTTATTTTCAAAACCTAAAAAAAAAAAAAAAAAGGGGCAAGTCCCAGTTTTGCTGCCATCTTACTTGAGGGCTCAGCAGTTCGGAAGCATGCTGTGTTGTGCATGAGACTGTGTGCCAAAAGAAATTGCTTTCTATAAGGGTCAAATCTGGCCATCCTGTCTCCCCTTCCCCCCAAAAAATAAATCACTTCCCCCCTTCCTGTAACACCTGCTTCCTCCATCCGAGCATTCATTGTCCCACTCCTGCTATGGGACCCAAGGCTCCAGCATCCCAGAGGAAGCTCTAGAGGGAAACCAGTGCCTAAAGCGAGCAAGACTCTCATTCACTTCAACCATCTCATGCCTCCACATCCACAGTTTTCCCTCTCTTCCTACTGACAGCATCTTCCAACATTCGGCTGGATGTTGAGAGCCACACATGCCAGGAAGCCGAATATGCCACACATCCTGGTATTGAACCCACCGTGCCCACAGACACTAGTGTGGACCAGTTGCTACAACCTGACCCAGCACAGGGCTGCCCCAGAGGAAGGGACTTCACATAAGCAGCAGCTCTGCTCTTCCCTAAAATGTGGCAGGAGCAAAGCATCGTCCCTCCCGCAGCCCAGCATCAGGGACACAGCGAAAGGAGTCTTTGGACAAAGCCATCCTTGGCCTCAGCTCCCATTAGGAGGTGTGTATCTCCTGCAGGAGGTCACTCTGCAGATTTCACACACCCCTCCTCGGTCTTCCCTACGCTGAGGACAGGGATACCTGCAAGAACATGACGAGTCGGCCAGCATCCGTGCGTGACACATGCCAGGTGTGTTAATCCATGTAAAAAGAAAGGGTGAGTCAGGAGTTTGAGTCTGAAAACAGTCCGGTTCAGAACAGCTGCTCCATGCCAAAATCCCTGTTTGTAATGGTTTTATTAACAGCAGCATTCAGACTTCCAGAGCAGTTACACCACTGGGGGCAGAGACACCTTGGGAAAGAGATTTACTTTCCCAAGTAACTTTGCCAGAAACCTCAGCTACAATTTAGATGAAGCTACAAAGTACGTCACAGGTTTTAACATAACTTACTGCTCCAATTTGCATTAGTCACGGGTGATAAAAAGCACAGGGGATTCACACTTGACACATCAGGCAGTTTCTCTCAACACAAAGCTTTGAGCATCCTCATCAAATGACACACACCTTTCTCCTTTAAGATGACCACCCTAAGTCATGTTCATGGAGAATGTCTCACCAAAACTCAGCCTCGTATTTAAATAAGTAATTAATCAGTTATTTTCCCTCCCATTCAGAAATAAAACCTGAAGTGGCTGCTACAGAAGAAAATCCTTAAATCCTTCCTTTTACACTGGATCAGGCTAATCTCAGCGGTGCTGTCACGCTGTAAAAAACATCTCACGTTAAACAACAGTTTGGGGAGATCTCTCACCAAGTGTTTTGCAAACGTAAAGTTAAAAACAGTTCAGCAAAAAGACAAAAGGGTAATGGCTTTTGTGAAAGGTTGACTAGCTCCCTCAATGAAGTCCAAAAAATACACTAAGGGAGAGTAAAAGAAGTCAGGAGCTACTCTGAAAAATGCTAAACATTTTGCATAGTCTCTTTGAAAATTTCACAAGTGCTTGAAACTAAGATGCAATGGGTCAGTTGCAGCTACCTGCGCTCATGTATTTTATATAGTATCTCAGAAGAGCCACTACGCAGGATCCAACTCACTGATACGAGCCATCAGTCACCATCCCACCATTTCCAAGGAAATGAAAAGGTGACCTCATGCCAGCGTCAAACATACAAGAAAACTACAATAGTTCAGTGGTAATTTACGAACAACTTACAGAATCACCAAGAAAAATGTTTGAATGAAGAGCTTGGATCATTTTGGTCCTTATGAAGGGGAAAGAGATTCAGAGAAAATACAAGAGGTAAAGGAGGATTCGCTTTGTCAAATGAACCCCTGGTAGGGAATTACAAGTTAACCTGTGAAAAAGCACCACTCTGGATGCTGCAGCCAAGGCCAAAATCAAGGTTCCCTATGAATCGTGGAAGCCCACAAGGTCCTCACCATCATCAGTCCCCATGGCTGTGAGAAACCTCACAGGAGGCTGCCCAGAGGCACCAAAGCCAGCCTCACACAGAAAACGTGCTTGGAATATACTGTATTTCCAGCCCTCAACACAAGTGCTGGAGGAGATGCTGACAGTACCTTGAGAGGTGTTTTTTCCTTACGTTTACTCCAATCCCATGCACAATGTTTGAGAAGTTCCCAATGTACCTTTGTTACAGGTCAGCATTTGGAGAACTACATCGCTATGCCAGCAAGGAATTTAGCTTTTTCTCACAGCTTGCTTTACAGATAGAACAGGATTAAAACTTACTTTTTTCAAGATACCACACTGCACACTTTTTCAGGACTGTTGACTACTTAAAAATATTTGTGATTACACTTTCTCCTCCTGTTCCTCAACAACTTGTGTACCTAAAATGGTTATAAAGGAAAAAAAAAAAAAAAAAAAATAAAAATGGCAGAGTTTATTTTTGCAAAGAAGATATATCTTCACTTTAGATAGAAATGATTGCAGTCTTAGGGAACTTAAAAAGGAAATACTTTGACTTCTAAGTCACTGACTTATCTTAGAAATAGATCTATCTATCTTCCTTGTCGTCTTCACATGCAATAAAACAGGGACAAGCACCACAGTCAAATGCCTTCTTTGCAATTGGAAAAGCACTTCCAAGGGTGTAGCTCCAGGAGCATTTCTCCTGGTGGAAGCACCGGCGCCTTTACTGCAGCAGCTGCTCCTGATACCACAAAGGGACATGAGTCATGGTAAAAACCCAGGTAAAGAATTAACTTTTCTGCTGAACCGATCCAAGGTATGAATTGTACAGGGAAAAAAAAAAAAAGTGCATTCTTAACTGGAATCTCTTTTCCAGTCTGGTTTGCTGAACAGCAAATCCCAGCATGGCCCAGCTGGGAAACTGGAAGGGGCTGCTTACGCCTACACCGACGCACAAAGGAGATCACAAAATTACAGTTCAAAGTTTAGGACGACACTGAAAAGGTTTTACCTCTTGCATGCTTCCACCAGCGGCCTCTGGAAGGGCATTAAACTTTTTACAACATTTGTGGCGTCGCACCATGTTTATCATGTAGACATCAACAGAGGAGTCACCCTGTTTCCGTGACAAAGGGCCATAAATATAGAGAGATATATCTTTTCAAAAAAGATCTGTATAGCCTGACTGCAGCAACAAGTTCCCGGCGTAGCTGCTTTCCCTGGAGCGCTGCCATCGGATTTTCTTATCACTAACCAAAGTAACTAACCAGCTAACTCCCAGGGATGTGCTTTGCCTTTTAGATCTGCATAAAGGTCATTTGCAAGGGAGAGAGGCAGGTCGGAAAAAAAATAAATTAATAAAAAGAAGACATTATGCCACATCCACGGCTTTGTTTCCAAAAGTTACTAGGAAAGGCAGTGCCAGGCTGCAACACCCCAGCTGGAGTGTTTGACTATTCAGTAAGTACAAGGAGTGGCCGATTCCCTCTCCACAGCAAGATTGTTGACAGCTGTTTTAGAGGAGAGGGAAAAAAAGTGAAGCATGACTAAGCTATTCGTAAAAATCTCATTGTGTCTAACACCCTAACGACAAGTTCTGATGGAGAAAAAGTGCAGGGCTACCTGGAAGGTGGTACACACCAGCCCCGAACTGGATTATATCCCCGTGGCAAAGCACCAAAGCGGAACTGTATGTATGCTTAAAAGCTATCAGCTGCTTCAGAAAGTCACTCATTACCTTTATCTGTCCTCCAGGTGATCAATGCAAGGAAGCAAACACATGAGCACTTGGCACCCAGCAGCACCTGGTAATCTCAGGCTGCAAGGTGCTTCCCACCCCAGCCTTTCCTGTGCCTCCTCCTCGGGCTGGAAACCACACCAACTGCCAACTCCTGCTCCGGGAGGCTGGTAAAACACGGGGCCACCATCTCCCAGGGAAGGCATATCGTACCTTTAAGGCTCCTCAGCAGAGCAAAACCAAAACCAAATAATTCCTCCTCCGTACCAATCAGCTACGTGGTTTAGTTTACTTCAGGCTATTTATTGCCAGTGTGGGGAACCCCTATAGAAATAACACTTAATAGCACTCAAGTAGATTGCAGAGATAACCAGCTACAGTAATAAGTAGAAAAGCTTCCAAGCTGCTTCAAGGACTGTATTATAGGTGAGTGAATCCCTACCAAATACCAGGCAGAGGAAACTGACACATGGGTCTGCTGGAAACTGAGTGGAAAAGAAATATTTACAGCAGGCATGACAACTTCCACTAACGATGTTTATTGCCGTGTAGTTATCTGGTAAAACTTACTATGCCAGCAGAAAAGTATATGAAAGGACCCACAGCCTTTGTAACACAGGAACGCCTGCATACCACCAAGAAACCTACCAATGCTTTTTATTCCTCTACTTTAATTTATTGACCGCTGCTTTAATTCATGCTTTGGACAGAATAACCAGATTCCTTTAACAGTACTTAATCCTCCTCTTAGCACAGGAGCGTACCCTGGACCAGAACACAGCTTACTCAGGAGTACATCCTGCTGAGAGATTAGTAGCGAGCTCCTCGTGAGCCTGGGTCTCAAAGCTTCCCTGTACAGACTGTTTAAAAACATCCATCATCGGGCAGTACCTGGCAGAGCTCTGTTTCTATGAGCAGCTTTGACTTCTTAACTGCCTTCTCCTCCTTTGATGCTGCGAAGCTGTAAATCAGGAACATGGAGCTCCTGCCTTCCTGGCTGCAGTCCTTGGCTGGACTCTGTTCCTCCAAACACGCCGTGTCCTCACCTCTGGGGCTACGCCGGCCATCCCTTGGCCACCAGAGCCGGGCAGGAGATGCAGGCTGGAACGCCGTCAGGCAACGCGGTGCATCCACACTACCTGCAGGAGACTCGTCATTCAGGCTACCTACCAAACCCGTCTGCCTGGCAGAACTCAACATCCATGCCCTTCTAGCAACAGCCCCAGGCTAGCCTGTCTGCCCAGCAGCGGGCAGCGCTGGAAGGACAGACAGGAGACGGACGGGGCTCAACCCATGAAGGCGGAAGACAGGTACATGCTTGAACCCACACCAAGGGACAACACAAGCCCAGATGATCCTCACTTTGCCTAACGCACCCTTAACCTGCTATCAGGCTTGTAAAAAAATAAATAAACCCAACCCCAAGTGTCCCAGCAAGATATCGTCACCACGGATGGCAACAGCCTGGACCAGAGTGGCCCAAAGCACAGCAAGCACCACCTGAGCAGATGTTCCTCTAGTCCAGACAGCACCTTCTATCCACAGGCACGGATGTTGTGAGGTTAACGTCAATTTACTCCCACTACTAAGGTACCTATATATAAAAATACACCTCCTCTTGCACAGTAACAAATGAATCATTAGTACCTTACCTTTAAGGAACTAAGTAGAACTTGGTTCACCTTTGCAATTCCACAATAGCTTGGCAAGGGCGTGCAAAACACGAAAAACACACCCAGCAAGAAATTGATTTGAAATTGACGAGAGTCACCACAAGCAGAAACAATGTAGCTTGGCCCTTTAAAACTGATTAGATTACATTAGCCAAAACTCCCAGCACACAAGACATTCATGGATCTCAGACCAACTGTCTAAACTCAGCTCCGAAGCTACATGCTTTACATATTTCTACTGCATCGCATATCTCCATGAGTACCTCAAGTTTTATGGCTGACGAAGATTACAGAGACCACCACCGCGACCAACTGTCCTACAGCACTTCTAATCCCTTCATCGAGTCCCTATCTCGGCATCCACAACAAAACCCATAGAGCACGCTATTAAAAAAAAAAAAAAAAAACTTTTTTAGACAATCACTTTTTTTTTTCCCCCCACTTCCAAGCTAACGTGAAGCCCCGTTAAGGACACCGGAGCAGAACCAGTTAGAGAGGTCAGCAAAACCCATCCCCACTAATCCCGACTCCTTTATACGACTTGTGGGGATAACACAGTCGTGGAAGGTGGGTTAATAAACTCTGACAATTCCCAGGTTAAGAAACAACAATCCTCGTCCAGAAAGTCCCGCGTTTGCTTCAAAAGAAAAGGTGTCTCCATTGGAGGAGAAGAAAAAAAAATAAAAAATTATATTTTGAAGGAACAGAGCGAATGCATAAAACAGGCCCCACGGCAATGACCCTCTGAGCAACTTCAAAGCCCCAAAGGTGAGAAAAACCAACAAGGGCTGGTCGCTTGGGAGAGACTCCGGTATAAAGCCCGGATGACTTTCTTTGCAATAAATTGAGATACAACGTTGCGTCAGAGAAGGGATTTTTTTTAGGGGGGTTGTTTGGGTGGGTTTTTTATGATCAATTTCAGTAGGGGAGGGAGGGGGGGGGATGTACCCGGGGACACA